CCCCACATAATGCGTCCCACAGCCAATCCCAACTGTGTATTATAGGAATATCTTATAGGAGATGTTTCCAATACACATTGAAATGTGTTGTCAGATGTTTTTAGAACACGCTGGGTGGGGCGCAAATGTGAACTCCTCCTATTCACTGTAATGGAGTCCACATACCATGAATTTCATTTTCAATAGCAATAAATAGACTCAAGTCATGAAGCCAATCGTCTGACAATCAAGTCTTAGAGGGAGACAATTTATTAAAGACAAAGGAGGTTTGCTGATCAGGGAGGAAGACAACGGAAGGCCTCTCATTGGATCGTGAGTTTGGGGGTCAGTTTTCTGAGGCTGGAATACGAATTTAAGGTTCAGTTTGGAATTAGTAGTATATAAATATAAATATATACAGTGTAAATATATACAAAATAATACAAAATATAAGGTTTTATATTCCATATATTTGTATTTTTATTTCTTTCAAACTGAATTTAAAGAAGAAAAAACTTGCAGATAGTGTTTTCTCTTTCCTGATTTATGTAGTTATAGAGGGTCAATATATCCATGATTCTCTCTCTCTCTTGGAAGGATTCATTACGAGCAATTGGGGTCGGGTTAACCCTCCCAGCCCGAAATAGTGAAACAGGCTTGGCTGTTTGTAAGTTTTATGTGTGTATGACCCATAAGCAAGGGTGTGAGGTAAAGAGTAATCATAACCAAGATTCTTTTAATTCATCAAAAGACAAATAAAGAATTAATTGAACATACACAGGAAGCTTCAAAACAGCCCAAAATGTTTGGAGGCCTTTCCCCAAGACTAATTTGATTGAGATGAAGTCAAATTAGGGTAAGGATTGAAAAATATGAATCTGGCTTAACTTCAAACTGGGTTAGGGTTGAACCTCTGTAAACAATAACGTGCATGGCACATACATGTGGACCTCCTCTTTCTCCTCCTTCACCCTGTAGACTCCTACTTCAATTTGTATTGTAATTACCTCTCCTAATGTATTTTTCTTCCTTGTAGATAATCCTTATCTCTATAGATTGTCTATGTAAAGGATAAACTTATCCTATTAAGATAAGTTCTATCCCAATTAGGATTCTTTCTAACCTATCCTAACTAGGATAGGACTTACCCACTCTTATACTCTATAAATATCAGTAATGAAAGACAAACAAGGTAATTCGACCATTACTCTCATAGCCTCACGTAACCCAACTCAATATGACTATTAACATGTGCTTGTATAAATATTATGTATACATAATATCATACATTTATATGTAGGGAAAAAATTGGTTGTCCACATTCAAAAGCTTAAGCTGTTAACAGCTATAAATTTTACTCTTTCTCTTGTATACATTTCATAAAATTTAAATCCAAATATCATATATCATATATGATTAATACTTACCTATATATATGTATAGAATATATTCTCATGCTAATGCATTCAGAATCGTACTTGCTGGAGTTTCTATGAATTTCTGTGAATTAATGAATCATGTAGAGAAAAGAATGCCCTATTGAGAGCTCAGCTGTTGAATTTATACAGCCAAAACTTTCCTCATGTGTAAAACATGAATACCAAAACTTTTAGGCTTAGTTTGGAAAGAGTACAAATGCAAATATGTACAAGTAAATAAATACAAAATATAAGGTTTTGCACTCTACATATTTGCATTTGTATTCCTTCCAAACTCAGCCTTAGGTTTAAAGGATTTTTTTTATCTAGACTATAATATTCCAAAAAATAACCAGAACTTTGTCTCCCAATGTATACTAATAATATTAAGGGAAAATTCCCGATTAGTACCCTACAATTTGGGCCTAGTGCCACTTTGGTCCCCCGAGCTTTAAAATGCGACAATTCAATACTCAAACTTTCAAAACGTGCCAATCCAATACTTGTTGTTAGCCAGCCGTTAAGTGGCATTTGAAAATACACAAATGCCCTTCAAGTGTCATCTAATTCTCTTTATCAACCATCCAAACATTAACAAAAAAATGAACGGTCCCAATTCCTTGCCTCTTCTATTCATTTTTCATCAATATTGGAATGGTTGATAAAGAAAATTAGATGAAACTCAAAGGGCATTTGTGTCTTTTCAAATGTCACTTAATAGTTGGTTAACGGGCTGATTAATGGCAGATACTGAATTGGCACATTTTGAAAGTTTCGATACTAAATTATTATGTTTTAAAGTTCGGAGACCAAAGTGACACTAGGCCCAAAGTACAGGATACTAATCAGGAATTTTCCCTAATATTAAAGTCAACTCTAATCTAATCAACAAACCATCGGTACGGTAGAAATTAAATGAGAAAAAATATTTCTAAAGAAAAAAAAAACAGAAGTAAAGAAATTAGGCTTTGGGTTGGGTTAGGATTGAAGAATTCGAGATTAGATTATGTTGGACTTCAAGGTCAGGTTGGGTTAAGGTCATAGTTTAGGTTCGGTACTTAAGTATGGGGATTAGGGTTGGTATTAATCCAACCTAACCTGGACCCACTTGCGCCCCTAGGATTCATCTCTCCAAAGCTGTGCTTTGCATTGTAATTTGTAAAGCTGATGACAAGGGTATCCTGGTTTGTGTAGAAATCACTTTCACGTTAATCAAAGAAAAAATGAGGGAAATGTTCATGTGGACAGAAAATTGTAATATATGCTAATGACAAGGAAATGTTTTTAAACCTAAGAAATATATTTTGGCGATCTAATATTTAGGTCTAAAAATTTTGCAATTTCTTGTAAATTTTTTCTATTACTTTGTTAATATTTTATTATATTTTTAGTGTTTTTGTTAATATTTTATTACATTTTTAGTATTTTTGTTAATGTAAATCAGATATACCCCACTTTGCTGAAATGCACGCAAAAAAATTTACATAATGAGAACCCCTTATATTTTAGGGGGAATGACGATTCAGCCCTGGGTCAGAATTTGTAGGCCCAAAATACTGTTGGGGTAGGTGTCAGTTTGGAATTGATGCCAATTCACGGGTGCATTGGTGCAAAGAGTGTGGGTTATTGACATTTTGAATATTTATAGTTCTGCAATGAAAATTAGAAATCTACATTAGGCCTGTCCGTACTTTTCCATATATTTTATGTCAAGAACTATTTCCATTAGCCTTATAAAGATAAGATAACCATTGATACTTTTTCAATGAAAGAAGTTTGATAGTTCACTAGCTAAGCCAAACTCGAACGCATGAGCTTTTGAGCTGAACTGAATTCAAAATTACTATTTTCATCTAAAACCCAAATTCGAACCCAAGCTGAGCTCAGATAGCCTAATATTCAATTTGACTTGGGTTGACTTAAATCCACCCCTGATTATAATATTAATACTGGGCTAAATAAATGCACCCAAAATGTATTCATATTTTGTTTCATTTACAATATACAAAACCAAGCAATAGAAAATAGATCAAGATTATTTCACATGAATTAGCATCAAGTCCAGGGAAAAAATCAGACAAGAAGTAAAAATAGCTAGGGAATCCTAAAATGAACAATTAAAATGGTTCAGCCATCGTGTTACGTATACTAATACTCATCTGAACTCATCCAAGCTATGTCCTGACCGAATGTGATGGGATATTTGGCCAAAAATTTAGTAGTTTTGATATTCATGGCGTTACAAACATCAGCGATGTCACCATTGATATGGGTTGAAGGCCATAAAAATGAAAAAATGAAGCTTGGATTTGAAAATGATGCAACGAAGGACCAGAAGCTTAGGCACAACTGCAAACAGTTGAATGAAAATGACGATGGGGATTGTTATAAGAATTTGCTTAGTGGCTCTGTTGCTTTCATTAATGATTATTAATCCTCTGTTTGTGTAAGAGAGAAGCAGATCAGTGATGATTGATTACTAGTGGGTGACTGACCGCGGATTTTGAATTCAATTCCGTCATATTAAGATCCTTCAGTGAATCTATTGCCAACATTCTGGAATTTACAAGATTAGAGTTTCTAAATTCGAATGGAGCGCTATGAGGATTACTGGCACTTAACGCATGCGGCCAAGTACCTCAAAGCTCAAATTGGCGAGCATTAAATTGTATGTAGTATTTGGAGCATGCGTTCATTAAATGCGCATAGCTTATGGAATTGATCAAAAGTCAAAGCCCACTTTTTGAATCCTGTGGGCCTGGGGCCAACACTTTCAAAGTGTCAGGAACGGGTGAGATCAGGAACGACCCTGTGGACCCACCTATAATTTGCCACCCATCATCTAATTGTCTATATGTTTCTTAAAATTGTCCTTTCCAGAGTTCAATTGATACTTTGAACTAATATTTTTAAAAATTCGGAACTGTTATGGCCACCGATTTTTAAAAATAATAATTAAAATAAAAATAACCAAAAATCATTAAATAAATCGATAGTTCAAATGCCCGGATTAATAGGTTATTGATCAGTTCAACAATTTTTGACCAAAGATCAGATTTGAAATAAAACGGAACTGATTGCGTGAATGATTCCCAAGCTAAACGGTCTGACCGCCTAGGTGAATGACTGTTTGAAAACATTGCTTTGAACCTTGCCCCAAGGGCCAGGCAAATACCACACTGCAAAAACTGAATTGAAACACATATTGTAGGCTTTGTTTTCTCATTATATTAAAATAATAGAGTTAGTAGCAGGAGCATCAGCATCTAACATAAAACCAAGACAAGTGTTATTGATCAATATACAGTATTATTATATGAGAACAAACAAATCTCCAAATTCCAATAACACCCACGTCTTAAGACAAAGATTAAAATCACAAAAATCGCAACTTTTAGAGTTTTAGGTCATTATTCTTCAAAAACCTATTAATTTATGTAGAACATATTCATAAAGCCATCCAGCTATGCTCGGCTGGGTCATAAATGCTTATAAAAAGCTTTACAAATTAGTGTGCTAGAGGACAAGCCAGAACAAATTCTAGAATTTTTCTTTCTTTGTTGGGGTGGGGTGGGGGTGGGGGTGGGGAGGAAGAGGGAGTGGTGGTCGAATATATATCACTTTAAAAATTTCCAAATTGTATACAGAAGAAATGTCCTAACAGTTACACTGGTTAAGAAAACTGGTTACAACAGCCTCCATTAAACATGAAACATAACGTTAATTGTAATCTCATCAAACTTGCCTTCCGTAACACATAAAGAGGTTTTTACCTACCCTAGACAGAGAAAATCCCACAAAGAATCAAACCTAAACAGGAAATCCAAACCTGGCACAATTAAAACTCCTGCCCCTTAACTTTTTTAGCTTCCCTCACCATAGATTCCAAACTAATATCAGGAGTAAATAACACATGGGCACAATCCCCAAAGTCATTAATCTAAAAGAACCATAAGTAGGTCTAGTGTCCATGGAATGTATTCCCATCAAAAATAGAAGAGAAGAGTTGAAACTACTGGGCCTTGAAGGAAGCATCCATCATCTCGCAGCGGCAGAAGCAACCTTCTGCATAATCATGGCTTCAGCGGCACGTATTGCTCCCTGTGACCCTGTGATTGTCACTTTCCTGCCAAATAAGTAACGGGGAAACACAAATTAGACATTGTGTACCCACATATCGAACCATCAGAAAGCGGACTAAAGTATATTAAGAAGCCGCAGTCAATACCTGTCGGATGTGCCAGACAGAAAATCACCTCTGTCTGATATCTTTATTCTGGCACCACTGACCTGCAGAACAGCGTAGTTCTATATAGCACTCAACAAACTAATGAAGCAAAATGGAGACCATTTTATGCTACAAAAAGCAGACCTGACTAATTTCCATTATATTCTTTCCCCCACGACCAACAACAACTCCAATATGTTCATCTGCAACACCAATTGTCACAGAGTTGCCACGGTCTTCCTGAATCCACCAGAAGGCCTTTTTGTTAAACACTGATGAAATGGGGTTTCAAATCCATGAAGATGAAGCATGATTGTACAAAATTTTATATTAAACTAAATATTTGCAAAGAAAGTGAAAGTGTGAAACACCTGCAGGGCAATTAGCTTTATGGACCAAAAATATCATTAGAAGATCATTTTTTTATCAATAATCATTAGAAGATCTTTTTTTATCAATTATCATTAGAAGATCATTCACTCCTATTAATTGCATTTCAAGAGCTAAGATGATGTCAAATGATGATGGTTGTTATAAAGAATTGCAATGTTATATTGGTATCCAAAAAGACAAACAAATCTGACTTTAGATTGAGCAACAAAAAAAATGCAGATCCAGTCAAGCATGCTACAAGGTTTGTGTTCTCTTCTCTTAACCTTTTTCTTTTTTGGGTGGTGGTTCTGGTAGGAAAAAATTACAAGTACATTTTTGGCTTCCCCAAGAGAGTTGAACTAAATGAAGGTGGAAGGTATGAAGAAAAGTTAACCATGGAGTACTTTGCATTTTAGAAGCAATACTAGTTTATTGTTGTTCTTTTTTAGCAAGGTATTTTAGTGATGAAAAGGGGGAAAAGTTCAGGAGTTCAGTTTTATCTTTTTTTTTTATGGAAGAAAAAACTGAGCTACACAAGACCGGGGGGTAGCTCTTCCCCTCAAATCAGCATCACAAGTTTTATCTTAATATAATATGTATATGATTCTACGGGACAAGTTTCTACTTTCTATAGAAATCTTAACTTTGCTAGATGGTAGATTATCAATTATAGCAATAAAGAGAGTTGAAAGATTTTCATGCACCAAAGAACATGAGCAAAAGGAGCAACACCCTTACAGGTTTTTTTGGAAAGGTAAAACAAGCAACACCCATACTGTTACCAAGCCAGCAAGTTCCCAAGTTATTGTATTATTGTTAGTTGAATGCATCATCAACAGTTAAATGTCCGGTTCTTTTCAGCTTGGCAGGGTCAATAAATAACTAAATACCAAGATCTTAGATGGAAAAATATATCCAATCTCAATAGTACAATCTAATATAACAATAAATACCTCAATAACAAGATGCATACAGAATAACAGTGATAAATTTCTCAAAGTAATAAGTTCCATCTAATATCTAGAATGTTGTGAAACATCAGTCAATATAATTAAACGGAACTCTTCTTTCAGCTCAACATAAACGTCCATTTCTCTGACGATGAACTTGGGATTTATCTACGTACATGGTATCCCTTCACTTTTCTTCTATATGCACAGTTTCTATCTCAACAACTTGCAGAAACAAGGA